CAACCAGGGTGAATATATGCATGTAGGCCGGTAAGATTATTTCATATGATGCTGACAATGGACATATCTCAGATATATATATTTTTACAGACCGCCATACCTTGTACAAAAATCGGTTGCATGTTTGTTATATTAATACATGTAGGCTATTAAACTGCTGGTAAGTTAATATATGCAGACAACAATGATCCACACTGTCGTCTGTCGCTGGGTTAACTGCATGGGTTGGCAGGTTGCTATAGGGAATATATTTACATTATAAAGCATATACAAATTCAGCGTTTGGTTTTAAAACGTTCTGAAAGCAAATTGCTATATCTATGAACATCTAGAATGAACACTAAACTCATCGCCTCGGCACAGCGCCACACAAACAAATATAAAACCAAAAGTACATCATTTTGACTCCTAAATATATTAAAAAGACGATCTGTTGTTTCAAGTACCTCATATCGAACGCTAAACATCAGATCTAAATATAAATGCCTTCATGTAATATCACCAGAAAGAAATAAAGCTATCCTTACCTGAATTATTCAAAATATTGTCGATTTGTTGAAAATCCAACATATATCATGCGAGCGCAGTACAAAATAAATTTTAACCGCCCCCCTCGTTTAAAAAAAACTTCCTGAAGCCTTCATTATTTCCCCGAAATTACGACATCTCTACAAACAGACAGACACAAATTCTCAAATCGAAATCTCGATCGACTATACATAACTCGGCCAAAGAGACTGGACACAAGTAAACGCAGACACGTAATACTTCATGTTAAGAATAGTGTGCTGCCTTCGGCAGCAATTAATAACACAGGGTAAGATTGGGCCGCCTGTGATATCACAAGTTTAATTTTGTAAATTGTGTGCCATTGATCTGATCCATCCATATATGATTATTGTAGCTGTTAAGTTATTATCCATACTATAATGAATTTAGATTGTCTTGCAAGTGGGTTGTTCTGACAAAATTATCTAGCCAATATCCAGTACATTTATTCATCATTCTTGCATTAATCTCTAAACAAAAACATTTATGTTAGAAAGCAAAATAACAATGTAATGAGGAGGAAGAGTGGGGATTCTTTTCTTAGCATTTGAAAATGTTTGCAAAAATTTTGTTGAGTTAATTATTATAAACTCTAATGTGTAAAACCAAAATGTATAAGTATTTTAACTGATAACATCGAACAGAGTTTTATTAATACAGAAATACAGGACCAGAATTTAATTCAATATCTCCTGAGAAAATTAGTTTCTTATGACATTGTTCATTGACAAATACATTACCTGCAATGTTTTGACTGTTTAAAATATTACACAACACAATGATTGTTTTACTGTATAAATACATAATAAAATAATAAATTTGTGGTATTTGACTACTTACCAGATGAGGATAAGTTTCCATGTCGATAGATAACTTCGGAATAATAGCGCAAGTAGAAAGGCACGTGAAAACAAAACAAAATCAAGATATTTTTGAAGCCAAAATGTGAAAATGGCAAAGAATAACACGAGGCCAAACGCCGCCTGTTCGCAGGTTAGATGCGGGCACGATGTAAACAATTGAAGTAAACTGATCGCTATTGGCTTAAATTGGTTGAATTATATAAGCTCGTCGCTGAATGGCTATGTGTTAGCATACGGTACGGTCACGGTACGTCTGCGATAGCAATATATCTGATTCGCAGATACAAAAAGAACATAATGAAATTAGTAAAATGTAAAATTTGGTTGCGAAATGTTGTAAAATACAGAAAATATAGCGTTGCGAAGTTTGCATATTTTCAGTATATTTGTGCGGAAATTGTTACCATATTTTCGGCTCAAAAAGTGTCAAAGTATGAACAATTCACCACCAGTTATTGGAGTGAACTTAATTTGAAACCAAAACTGGATAAATGGAACGCCGTAAATGTTTAGTAAAAAGTTTAAAAAATGAACTTTGGAACTTCATGGTTGACACGCATGCGTATTGCACCCATTTTATTATTGACCGGTCAATAAATGTTTCATTGCGGACCGGTTGCCGAACATGACATTTTGTGGACCGGCACGTGACACGGTTTTTTGACCAATCGGCAAACAGAAAAATTGAACTTTGACACTAACTATATAACAAATTGAATTATATTATCTCAATTTTATATATCAAATATGCAGTTGAACAAGATCAAACGTATAAAATATTAATAGCCGCATTGCATGTGATTGAAGCTTTATAAATAGAATATATATTCTCACCGACTGAATACATTGAATACACGCTGACGCATTGTCAGTGAATGAGTGAAATACAATATAAAGTACATATTATTTATCTCGGCATCGTGCCAATTGAATACACGAGACTGTATATACTCTCAAAATAGCTTACTAGTTACTACAAGTCTATATTTTTTTGAATATTTTTTTTTTATTTGCCCATATAAAGCTAAATATATTTACAATCTATATTTTTACAAACATTAGGGGCTAGGAACCTTTATGAAACCCTATCAGGCTTTTATTCAAAGGCCCCTAGTTTAACAATATTAATTATTATATAAAAATAGTTAAAGCTTGTTCAATCTTGTCAAAGACAAAGTAAGAGTATTTACAAATATAGTGATTTGAATATAAATATACACAAGAGTTTATTATGTGAGATTACAAATGAAAGCCGTTAGGTATATTCCAAGAAAAGGCTTTTCAACTTTTTCTTAAAAGTAGAATAAAACATAGTATTGCTAGTTCCTTTATCAAGAGAGTTCCATATTTTAACTCCCTTGTTAACAATAGTATGTTTTGCATAATTAGTTCTACTATAATTGACATGCAATTTGTTAGAATTCCGAGTATTGTAATGATGCACTTCATTGTTTTGTATGAAGTAGTCATTAACAAATTCAGGTAGATTTTGTAAATGTTTAAAACGGTACACAAATAAACAACTTAAATAGTCATTAATCTTAAAGATATTCAAGATTTTCAATTTTTGAAACAATGGTTCAGTGTGTTCAAGATAGGATTTAAAGTTCATCAATCTGATAATTTTTTTCTGTAAATTCAGTATTTTTAGCAGCCTTGTTGGGTACGTGTTACCCCATATTAAATTCCCATAAGTAAGATATGGATAAACTAATGCATAATAAAGTACATTTAATGTATTTTTGTTTGTATAATGTCGTATTTTTGCAATCAACGCCGATGCTTTAATAATATTTTTGACAACTGAGTTTATATGGTTTTTCCATGTTAGTTCTTGATCTATTATTACACCTAGAAATTTGACAGCAGTAGCCTGATGTATAATGTTATTGTTAAGTTGAATATTAGTATCAGTGTCACATTTTTTATTTTTTAATTTAAAAATGACGTACTTAGTTTTTTTAGTATTTATTGATAATTTATTGGCGTTTAGCCATTTAGTCACTTCATTCATTTCTTTTTGCATAACATGCATTAAAGATTTGAGGCATTTGTCAGAGTAAAACGCATTTGTGTCATCGGCATACATAACAAAAGAAATTATTTCACTACAGTTCTCAATGTCATTAATATATAACAGAAAAAGTAGAGGCCCAAGAATCGAGCCTTGCGGAACTCCTGAAGATATTGTCATCTTACTTGACTTATGATCACGAAACTTAAGAATTTGCGTTCTTTCATGTAAGTAGTTTTCAAACCATTTTAAACAATTTCCTCTTATACCATAGTGTTCTAGTTTTTTTAGAAGAATTTTATGGTTAACTGTGTCAAAAGCCTTAGATAGATCAAGGAAAATACCGATTGTGTATTTTCCTTCATCTATGGCCTTTGAGATTTTGTCAGTCAATTCAATAATAGCATGTTCAGTGGAGCGATTTTTCCTGAAACCATACTGGTGTTTAGATAAAATGTTTTGTTTTTCAATATATGAAATCAGTCTTTTGTACATTACTTTTTCAAGCAATTTCGAAAAACATGTGAGAACTGAAATTGGCCTATAATTTTCAAATAGACATTTTTCATTTGCTTTAAAAATAGGAGTAACAAGAGCTATTTTTAGTGTATTCGGTATTAATCCAGTTTCAAAAGTTAAATTGAAAATATGTGCAAGAGGTTTGCAAATCTCTTGTTTAATTGCTTTTACCATTTTGGCACTGATATTATCATGACCTGCACTTTTAGTTACATTTAAGTTATCAATCTCAGTCAAGATTTCATATTCTGTAACAGGTTCAAGTCTATATACTCTAAATACTCAAAAACCTTACCTTAATACTAGAGAAACTTTGTTCCAACTTCGCAATTTGAAAAAATAGAATGACTATTGAGTGCATAATGCCATAAAAGAATGTTGCTGTTGTCTAAATGATCAAACCACTTATCGTAAACAGTTCGGAAACTTTCGTAGATGCGCGGGCTTTAACCTTAGTCAAAGAGCCTGTTCGCAGGAAAAGTGAACCGTCCACTCAAAACATCTAAACCCTTGTCGACAGCATATGGCGACTACTCTTCCAGTAGACGCCAAAAATTTAAAATTTAAAAATATCGTGTTGTCATGGCAACACTTGAACGAGCCTGCATTCAGTATTGGCCATTTCTAAATACTTCATGTTAATTCGATGTTTGGAAAATATAGGCGAGGGGTTCCTGCATGCATGTATTTCTAGTTTTATTATATTATTGTCAATCAAAATGGGGATACTGAAGCACGTCAGATAAACAAAGTATTATGCACTGTTTTAATGAAATAGGAAAACGAAAAACAGTCACGATCGCTGCTTCGAGGAAGCTGGTCACTTGCTGTACTTGTCTGACTTTTTAGCTTTTTTGCAAAGAAGCTGGTTGATATGACGGACGTTTTCACTCACTCACTCACTCACTCACTCACTCACTCACTCACTCACTCACTCACTCACTCACTCACTCACTCACTTAAACTCACTGCAGGGATGGATAAAAGACAATAATGAAAAATTTTGGAGACTGTTAAATAATAAGGCATGCAGGAATAACAAAAAGAACAAAAAAATGGTATTAGAGGTAAATGGTAAAATTATCACGGATTCACAGCAAATGGCAGGTCTTTGGTCAAATTATTTTGAACAGTTAGCAACACCTTCAGAAGATAATGAGAATTTCGATCGAATTCACCGAATTGAAATTGAAAATGATATCGTAGAAAAATCAAAGAATGCTCTAGGCTGTATAGTTACTGTACCGTTAACAACTCAGGAAATTTCGGAGGTTATTAGAGGCCTACCAAAGGAAAAAGCCCCCGGATATGACGGAATCACGTATGAGCACCTAAAATTTGGCGGAGAAATGATCATACATGCATTATTAAATCTTTACACTTGTATTATCGATAGAGAAGAGATTCCAAGTTCATTTGAATTGGCAGTTAAAATCCCAATTTCTAAGGGCAATAAGAAAACACACATGTTTGATGATCATCGAGGAATAAGTCTCCTGCCGTGTGTTAATAAAATCTTGGAACGTATAGTATTGTCACGATTACAAAAGCAACAAAATTGTCTCCATCATTCGCTCCAGGGTGGATATAAAAAACAAAAAGATGCTCTCACGACATGTTTTGCAATTGAAGAGGTGCTAAATCACTGTTCCGAGGACAATGATAAAGTCTATGCAGCCTATATGGACATCTCAAAAGCTTTTGACACTATGTGGATTAATGGAATGGTTTACAAGCTAAACTACACCGAAGGGGTAACTGGTAAACTTGGCGGCTCATACGAAATTGGTACTTGAACATGAACGAATTTGTTATCGTTGAAGGAAAGTCATCTCGTATATACGAGCTAGGGCAAGGTACAAGACAAGGTGGGGTTCTATCACCCTGGCTTTTCCTGGTATTCATAGACAACCTTATCGAGGAATTGAGCAACATTAAATCTGGAATTCCTTAAATCCTGTAAAGCATGCATTACTTTATTGTAATGGCACAAGCCAATTAAGAGAAGAACTATGGGAATGGATAAACGATACTATGCCAATCGAAATGGCAGTACATTTAGCAAGTTTGACAGACATGGAATTTCTCTTAGTTATATTAGGTAAAAATTCAGAAGTATTATGTGCAAACACAGATATATGGACGGAGCTATTGCTGAAATCTGCAAGTCATGTTTCCTTTTGTTATAGGAGTAATTTAGTTAGCTAGTTAGGTAACAATTCACAGTTTTTTCACTATCTTTATTTTATTATTAATACTTTTTTTATAAATATACCTACTCTTCAGAAATTGGAGGCAATAAAGATTTAAAACTCACTCACTCACTCAAACTCACTACAGGGATGGATAAAAGACAATTTTTTTAAAAGTATTTTTTCTCTTATTCATTAAAAGGCAATAAAAGACAACAAAAGACAATAAAAGACAATAAAAGACAATAAAAGATAACATGTCACGATATAAGTTTTAATTTTCACGTATAATATATATATGGTTACCAGGATTTTCCATCATTCAAAATGTGCAGAGTAAACGATCGTAAAAATATGTTGTTGTTGTAAAATGTGTGATCGATGGCGCAGAAAGTTTCGAAGATAAATAAACTCAGTTTATAAAAAGTCTGAATAAAAGACAATAAAAGACAAATTCCGGTTATATTTCAATTCTTCATTTAATATTCAAAACCTCATTAATAATTCATGAAGCAATTATCCAATCTTGAGTAAGAAATTAGTCACGTGCATACGTCTTTATACCAGCTAAAGAACACTATAATAAAAGACCATTGTTATGCAAACTATATAAAGATTTTTATATAAAGATTTTTATATAAAGATTTTTATATAAAGATTTTTATATAAAGATTTTTATATAAAGATTTTTTATAAAGATTTGACTTATTATGCAAACGTTTTTGAAGCCATTTAAAAAACTCGCAGGTCGTGTTTTATTAGGTCTAAATTAAGCCACTCGCGCTACGCGCTCGTGGCTTTAAACCTAATAAAACACTCTTGCTCGTTATTTAAATAGTACATAAAGACAAGAAAAGACAAATTATTAAAAGACAAGATGCCATCCTAGCTTCACTGTGACGAGCATTTCGATACTAAATTGTTGTTGTTTCGTCCTAAATATCTGGGGGCAAAATGCATATTTCTTCAACCAAGTCTGCGTGATCGTATATCGCCTGGTTTTAAAGAATTCTCGCTCAATTAAATGGACGTATAATTAGCACATCATAAAACTTAAACCAAAGAAAAATGATTGCGCAGCATATTCCTTGAGTTTCAGAATCAGTAAAAGGATGCTAACGTCGTTTGTTGTTGTACATGGAAT